TACAGACTAACACGGCTACCCCCTGATACTTGACACTATGTTATTTTATGTGTCTGACAATTTTATTCTTTACTGTTGTTTCAACTAATTTGGCCGGTACTGACGTTAGACTTACCGGTCTGTAATTACCAGGATCACCTCTGGACTCCTTTTTAAATATTGACGTTACATTAGCTATCTTCCAGTCATTGGGTACAGAAGCTGATTTAAAGAACAGGTTACAAACCATAGTTAATAGTCCTGCAATTTCACATTTGAGTTCTTTCAGACCTCTTGGGTGAATGCCATCTGGTCCCGGTGACTTGTTACTGTTAAGTTTATCAATTCCAAAACCTCTTCTAAAGACACTTCAACCTGTGACAATTCCTCAGCAGGCCGTTTTTTTTAAACTCTTTCTCATCTGGGATTGTGGTTTTCTGGGCATCTAGTAAAATGTTCTTAAACCATTCCTAATTACCATTCACCGTTTTCTCTTTACATTCTTTCTGCCAGCTGATACATAATTAAAACACCCTGTATCTATATTACTGGTTGGGACTTTATTCTCATTGCACACGACAAATGTGATCAAGTCATGACCACTTGCATCTAAAACAGCCACGCATTTTTAGTTCTGTGATCAATTCCTTTTGATCTGTCAAGATCAGTAGCAGATTAGCCACTGGGCCGACCGGGCTTCTAGCTGAAAAACCTTTCCTTGCCTTTATCCAATGCCAAAAATGGGGGGCACCACAAAGGGGGGGTGGAACCCACTCCTTGAAAATTAAAAAAAAGGGAAACAAATCAACATTTTGAGAATGAAAATATTCAGTTTGAATTTAATTTTATTTTGTTTAGAAAATTGCAGCAGAAAATTGAAATGTTGTGATAATAAATAATAATAATGGAATCATAGCCCCATAGGGTTAAAAGGGACTGCAAAGGTCATCAGGTCTAACTCCTAATAATAAAAACCTATTGTTTATTAGGTGCATTACAGTAGCACCCCTAACCCGGCCTGGGACCCCACTGTGCTAGGTACTGTACATTATTACTGCCCTTAATTAGGTGCATTACGGTAGCACCCACATGCCCATATCCTGGTGCAGGGCCCCACTGTGCTGGGCGCTGTAAATTATTAGTGCCCTTTATTAGGCGTATCACGGTAGTGCCCAGGCACCCCATCCTGACCCTGAACCCCAGCGCGCTAGGTGCTGCACAAACACAGAACAAAGAGAGTCCCTGCCGTGAAGAGCTTCTAGTCTATGTACAAGAGACACCAGCTGGAGACAGCCAGACGGACGGGGGAGGGCAAGGAAACAATGAAAGACTATTGTTTAAATAGGCCAGACAGACACGGTTGGGAAGGGGGAGAACGCACAAGCGATGGGATGGCCGCAAACGAGGTGTGTTTCGTTAGCACCAAGGAAGGGACAAGGGGGGATAGGGGTGCTGAGGGGAATGGAGTCAGAGGAGTGAAGCTGAGGTGAAGAGACCATGGGCGGGGGCTGGCGTGGGCAGAGGTGCACATGCCAGCTCCGATCCAGCTAGCCCCTAGCAGTGGGGCCACGGAGACCCAAGCAGTGGCCCCCTGTACAGTCCCGTCCAAGATCCTAGACACGTCCTGGGGCAGCTAGCCTGAGCCACCGCCTGCAGCCACGCCAGTATTTTTAACAAGCGAGTGCAATCAGAGTCGTGCCGATTGCCGTGTAAACTCACCCTTTCTATTCACTCCAATGTGAATCTTTTCTAGACACCAGCCTGGGATGAAAGACATGCATGGGAGAAGCCTGAACAGCCCAAATTCTCCCGTGGAAAGTCTCCTGCGAAGGAAAAGGATCCCAGAAATATTGCCCAGAAGCCTAGCAAAAAAGGTAAAGTCCCACTTGTAAGCAGCGCTGTTTTCACAGAAGAAGGAAATCCAGTTCAAAAGAATGAGTTAGGCATGTTTATTTCATAGACCTCTCATTATTTCTTAACTCTCTACATCTCTGTGGATTATTTCTCACACGTGTTTGCCTTCTTCCCAATTTCGTATCTAGGCATGTAACTAACAAATTGCTCCCCTCTTCCAGATCAGAAGGATGATGTTAAATAGATCAGACGCTCTTAGGGGCAGGGGAATGTCTCACTGGGTTTGTGCAGCACCCAGCGCCCCGGGACCCCGGATCTTGATATGCAGCCCTGATTTCGGTAGGGGGTGGCAGTGCCCAGTGCTACATGGGGCCCCGATCCACGTTTGGACTCTAATACAAGTTCTGGGGCTGGTGTGCTTGTGTGTTACTCCCCGTCAGAAATCAGGACCTGGGGCTGCGGGTCGAGGCAGGTTCCCTGGAGAGGAGCCAGGCTGGAGCAGGGTTAGGAACAAGCAGGTGCCATGAAGCCACCAAGCCGGCTCCCAGCAAGTGGAAAGTGGCTTCATTCTGCATGTAATTGCTTAGTCACGTCTTTAAGCAGAGCTGGTCTGCTGAGCCTTCCAGCTAATTGGGCGGGGTGGCCAAGTAGGAGCGTACCCCAGGGTGGCTGCGCTCAGAGACCAGCTCTGCTACAGGCCCCGATTCCCGACCATCCCATCCAGCTGAACAGGCAGGAGACACCCGGAGACCAGGTTCTGGTCCTGGATCTATTAGTAAATTTCTTGTCCCCCCAGGGTACCTCGGCATTGCAGCTGGGAGCGAATGCCTCAGCAAAGCAGGCAGCCCCAGGGGAGCTCAGAAGGCTGAAAACGGCTTTCCCCACAGAGCCTGGAGCTGAGAGAAAAGCATCAAGTGGGTCTGTTAGTGGCTGGGAAGGGAAATGCCTCTGTGTCCCCCACCACACACACACATGCTGTCTCCTGGCTCCCAGCCACACTGGGCTGTGGATAGGGTATGATCTATGGTAAAATGTCACTTCCATGTGTAAATCAAACTTGTGGGTGCGGAAGGCAAGGGAAGGAGACACTAGAAAAGGCAGAGACACAGCTCAGTCCTGACCTGCAGCCCCCCTGCCACCCCAGCCCTGAGCTCTCCACCCTCACGGCTCTGCCAATGAGGCTCAGTCCTGACCTGCAGCCCCGCTACTGCCCCAGCCCTGGGCTCCCTCCACAGCTCTTCCAGTGCTCCTCAATCCTGACCTGCAGCTCACTGCTAGGCCAGCAATGGTCTCAGGCTCTCTGCAGACTCAGGCAGGTGTTGCTGCATCAGTTACACGTGGGAAGTCCCTCCTCTGACATCTGTTGTCCCAGGCTGTCTGTAGACTCATCTCTCCATCCGTTACCCTCGGCTCATTATTTTGATGTTGTTTTCACAAGTGTAACAGCTAGAGAATTACTTTAAAAAAGGAAAAGGAAAGCCGCATGTAACAGGATGCACTCACCCCTCGTGAGCGCCCCCTGGCTCAGTGCATGTGCCTTCACTCTCTTCTTTGTTTTTGGTGGCTCTTCGGTGACTCAGCCCTCCGGCCGAGTCACACACAGTCTTCACTGTGAATTGCTACTCTGCCAGCCAGCCAGTCACCCAGTCTTCACTCCTTGAGCTCCACACAGCAACTGCCTGCTGCGCTGTTCTGCAGCTCCTTTTATATGGCCCTCCTGGCCCCTAATTGGCTGCTTCCCCTGCAGCCACTCTAGCCTGCTTAGCCTGCTTGGAGGACCTCTCTACTGCTCTTTTTTCTGGGGCAGGGTGTGGCAGGACCCAGCAGGGGTCCCTCCAGCAGGGGGCCTCAGGGCCTAATCTACCCCGTCACACCACGATTCTGGAGAACAAGCCAACAGCTTCAGGTAGGGGCAGGTACAGATATGGGCATGAACTGGATGTTGTAAATGACAGAGGCTGGCAATGCCCCCCAGGGAATTATGAATTGGCAGCCCACAGCCGCGTCCCAGCCATGCGTGGGGAACAGCCCAGCCAGCCCCCTACAGAATGTCACTGAAGGCGGAAATAAGAGTTGAAAGTTTCATGTTTAACAGGGACTTTTAAAGCCAACTGTAATTGAAACGTTTCTTTTCCTTTTCCAAGGCCAGAGGCTGGACTCTGACGGGGATAGCGTCGATTCCTGGATCTACACGTTTACTTCTGACACAAGTGACCTTTCTGAAGCAGATTCTGCATGGCAGGAGGATGGGGGGTCATCACAAAACACCATGCGAAGCGTCGCTCTCCTGGGGCAGACGGGCGCTGGGAAATCATCCTTTGTCAATGTCATTAGAGGCCTGGGTGATGAAGAGGAAGGTGCTGCTAAAACTGGGGTGGTGGAAACGACAATGGTACCAACTTCTTATCAGCTTCCCAAACAACCCAATGTTACCATATGGGACCTGCCGGGGTTCGGGTCAATGACACGTCAATCAGACATGGACCACGATCTCTTCAGTTTGAGCCAATACAATGTGTTCCTCATCTTCTCCTCCCGTCACTTCACAGCCACCCATGCTGGCCTGGCCCGGAAGATCCAGCGAGCAGGGAAGAAGGTTTATTTTGTGCGCTCCAAGGTCGACAGGAACTTGCTTGCTGCCCGGAGGAATCGGCCTTCTACCTATAATGAAGAGCAAATTCTGCAGAGAATCAGAGACACTTGCGTGAAAGACTTGCAGAGAGAAGGGGTGACTTCCCCACAGGTCTTTCTCCTGTCTAACTTTGAATATGGCCGGCACGACTTTCCTCTCCTAGAGGAAATATTACAGCAAGAACTGGGGAGTCGTTTGGCTGGCTGAGCTCTTGTTCCCCAAAAATCTTGCACAAGGAAAAAGCAGCCATGCAGAGTCAGAAACCAGCCCTTGCTTCAAATTATAATACTGAAAATATTCATATAAATCTCCAAGAGGACCTGGCAGAACCAGAGGGGGTTTAGAGAAGAACCATGAGAATGATCAAGGGATGAGAAAAACATGCTTATGGAGAAAGATTGAAAAAAAATTGGGGTTCCCTTAGAAAGGAGACGAAGAAGAGGGGACAGCATAAAAGTCTATAAAATAATGACGGGGACAGAGAAGTGAGATCCGGAGCTTCTGTCTTCCCTGTCCCCTAACTCAAGAGCAAGGGAGCATTTAATAAAAGTAAAGGTTGGGAAATTCAAACCCGAGGAAAGGAGCTCCTTTTTCACACAGCGTGTGGAACTCACCTAAGTTCCCTCTAAGCTGCATGGCCATGCTACCTATTAAGCCCCGCACAGGGGTTCAGGGCTGCTGTGGGGAGAGATGCCTCTCTCCAAGCCCTGAAGCTGTGGCGGCCCGGGGAGAGGAGCCTCTGCCAGCCGGCCCCAACCCAGCGCTTCTGTGGCTGGGGAAGAGGCACCTCTGCCCGCCAGCCCCAAACTGGAGCTGTTGCAGCCGGGGGAGTGGCGCTCTCCCCCGGCAGGGCCTATTGGAGCTGCCGGGGCAGGAGAGAGGTGCAGCTCATCTGACCCCAAGCTGCTGCGCTGAGAGAGGGCTGGGGGTTGTCTTCTCTCCCTGGGGCAGCCCCACCCCAGAGTCCACACCCCCAGCCAGAGCCCTCACCCCAGACCCCAAACTATTGCCCCATCCCTGAGCCCCCTCCTGCACCCTGAACCCCTCATTCCCCACCCCAGAGCCTGCACTGCCAGCCGGAGCCCTCACCCTCCTGCACCCAAATCCTGGGCCCTAGCTCTGAGGCCCTCTCACCGCACCCCAACCCCTCAGCCCCAGCCCCACCACACACTGTCCATGTGTGGAGTAACTTTTGTTATGTGCACCAATATGGAGGTGATGTATCATAGTGGTGCACATAACAAAAGTCATTCCACATGCGGACATAAACAATTAAAGGGAACACTGGAACTCACCACCCCATGATGTCGTTTGGGGGTTGGACTAGATACCTCCTGAGGTCACTTCCAACCCTGATATTCTATGATATTCTACGATTCAGTTAAGGCAAAGAGTTTAACAAGATTCACAGGGATTGGCCATTTGTACATCTAATGAGAATAGCCAGAGCGATCTTAGAAAATGACAACAAAATGGTGTTGTTTGTAGCGTTGTTGTAGCCGTGTTGGTTCCAGGATATTAGAGAGACAAGGCGGGAGAGGGAATAGCTTTTATTGAACCCACTTCTGCTGGGGAGAGAGACAAGTTTCGGGGCTGACACAGAGCGCATCTTCAGGTCTGGGAAAGGCATCAGAATATCACAGCTAAATACAAGCTGGGACACATTGTGTAGCATATTGAGCAATAACAAGTACGTGGGTGAACCGAGACAATCACTGCGCTCTTTGAACTGATACGAAACCAAAATGGTGTTTATCCAGCACATCCCGCCAGAACACCAGAAACGTTTACTTGTATCTACACCGAGCGGTAACGCTGACGGCAGGGGTGTGGTTTCTAAACCGCACTATCATGTGGCGCATTAATTTCTCTGTGTAGGCGCTGCTGGTGTGCACTAGTGGATCGCTAGTGTTCTTTGCGAAGGTGCTGTTTGAAACAGTACTGCAGTAAACGTGCACCAGGAAACATTACAAAGAGAGATTGTTCATTACAGGCGTGGAAGGATTTGTTTTTACTGGTAAATGTCGGTAAGCGTCAATTTCACTGGACACCCACAAATGGAGGAAAAAATATTTCCATTGATAATAACTGAAATGTACAGACCGGTAGAGTCAGAGAAACGCTGCTTGAGAACTTATCAGAGTTTGATTTAAGACTGTTTACTTGGTGTATTTTGACATGTGATATTGACAATTTTTGTTTTAATGGTTATAAAGCTTTCACTTTTTGAATCTCAGCATCTACTGTCATTAAACACTTAGTATCTGATCCCCCTTCATATTTTCCCACTGTGACAGGTTGGATCACAGAAACCACCTGGGAGCTGCCACCTGATGTGCCAAGACTACTTCTGTCCCTGCTAGCTTGGGACTCCAGCACCCCGTCTTGCTGAGCCAGACACTCCCGTCTGCTCCAACACAGACCCAGGGTCTGAATTACTTGCCCCAAAACTGCAGACTTGACTGAAAGCAGCTTACAGAAGTGTTCCTGTCTTTAACACTCCCAACAGGGTCCAAACGCCAAATAAATCCATTTTATCCTGTATAAAGCTTATACAGGGTAAACTCATAAATTGTTCACCCTCTATAACACTGATAGAGAGATATGCACAGCTGTTCCCCCCCCCCCCAGGTATTAATACATACTCTGAGTTAATTAATAAGTAAAAGGTGATTTTATTAAATACAGAAAGTAGGATTT